GAATATGTTAAAGCTGTAATGAAATGCTTCTTCTAATCACGTGGTTATTAAATTTTAAAAATTTTTAAAAAATAAACTTTAAAAAAAATGAAAGCACTTAGAAAGATGATTCATTTAAGATTCATGCAGCATTATTCCATCCCAAAATTTCATCACCAAAATAAAGCTTCATCTTTCACTTGGCAGCACCTTTCCAAGGCAAAAATATAGAAACAAAATTTAAAACCCAGCTGACTTGGCATACAAATCTGTTTCCCTCAATAAAACCAAAGAGCCAAGAAAAAAAGCATGTGGGTTGTAAGGTTTTCTGAGAATGTAGAAAAGATAGAAGGGAAAGGGAGCATAGCAACTGCTGTGGTTTGAATATGTCCCCCCCAAGTTCATATGCTATAAAGTTAATCTCCAGAGCTTGTTCCGGGGATCTGAGCAAGAGTGTTGGGAGGTAGAAGTCTAGTAAGAGGCTCAGATCATAGAAACCAACATAAGGATCGAATGAATGCCTGAATTTTTGTCTGCCTCTTTTCACAGACTGTGCATTCTGACAGGATTTGTTTTGGTCACCACTGTGACTCTGGCATCTCACAAGGAGAACACGGAATTGTGTATTTGTTGAATGAGTGAATAAATGAATGAGTGAATTAATGAATGAGAATGAATGAATGGTCATGGGTGGAAGGGGGTGGATGAAGGGGAAGATGCAAAATAACCAAGCAGAATATTGACGCCAAAGAGAAAGGTGGCCTGTGAGGAATTTGGAATGGATACAGGACATTTAAGTTCAAGGACGACTAAGATTCAATTCTAAATTGTTTCTACATAGGCACAAAATTACTCTCCCCCAACTTGATAAAACTTGACCATACTTACCAGTACCCCATGGAAGTATTTGGGGGAGGAAATTAAGGAAAGGGTAAATAATTCCATTCCTGGGTTATTGTTGAAAGGAATGAAAGCAAACACAAGTGAAAGCTATTGGAATCAGAACTCATCAGCAAAGGTCATTATGAATACGACCTAGGAGCACAAAGGTCACCACACAACATCCTGGAGCACACAAGTCTTGGAGAAGGCACTGGACCTCTTGCCTTCATTTTTTCCAGAATATTGGAAAACTGGGTTGAACCAATTTTACTTAAATTTCCAAGGATAAAGACTGTAGGTGTCATTTGGTTCGGGAGTTGTCACACTTTTTTGTGTATGCTGTAGTCCTTTGTCTTTTGGTTTTTTCCTTTATTTGTTTGCCTTTATTTCATTGCTTTTTTTTTTCTTAAAGAGCAGTCTGAGATGGAGGGAGTACTTTTTTCTTTTTTTTAGAATTTCATACATGAGTCCTATGTTTTTCACCCTTCTCTCCCCCCCCTCCAACTCCTACCACATTCTTCCCACTCCCTCTCAATACATGACCTCTTCTTTAATTATTATTGCTGCACACACACACACACACACACACACACACACACACACACACACAAAATTCAATAGCCCAAACTGAATCCCCAAAATATCTACCAATAATATATATATGCAACCTGCTAAGTTCATTTAACAGTGCTTATGTGTATATGTGTTTAGGGATGACTGCCTGGGATTGGAAAATCTATCAGGGAGCTTGTTCCTGAAGAAAACAGATTTTCCCTCTCTCGGCATCTTTGATTGACTGTAGCTCTTCATCTGGAGGTGCAACTTGTGACATAATACTTATTTAAAGGTAATGGGGACAAAAACCTATAAATAAATAGAAGAAGAAAAGAAATGCAAAGAGATTTAAATTTTTAGAAAATTGAGATTCATATCTAGAAAACAAAGGAGGCAGAAATTTAAAAAAACTCTAAGAACAGTAAATAGAATAATGTATAATTTATGATTTTTTTTTACCTCATTTTGTCTGGTTCGGCAATCATGTAATCCAAAGATAACATTTCCCTTATCATCCTACAAATTAACCAGATGCTTATTAATGGTATTGTTTGGGAAGTTAGACTATCACTGGTTTTAAAACAAATCTGCAATAATTCAAACTACTTTAGCAATAAACACTCTGAAGGAAGCAAGGAAGCCTGCTGTACATGTCTAGAAGGACCAGACAAGACTCAGCTAATCATTAGAGCTTAAGGAGTGAAATGGATCAACACTGAGCATGTTGCTCAGTGAGTGTGGGGACACTATCTAGTAGGCCTGAGCATGGTATCTCCCATTTATCTTTAAGAGAAAAAAATATGGTGGGTAAAGTCCATAATATCCTCATAAGTAAAACTCATTGACTCATATAGTTCTTTAAATGCTGCATCCTTACAACTTCAGAACTTTTTAAACAAACACAAAAATAAAACAAGGTTATACAACTGTACAAAACAAACAACTGGCACTCTGCCCTCATACATCCCTATTACAGTAAAGGTGTTGATAAAATTAAATTTCCTTAGAATAACCAACATTTGAAAACATATTACCAAGCAGTCTTGCAAAACTCCCAGAATATTTAAATCTGAATGTACAGAATAACCACATTTAACATTTTTCTCAAAGATAAAAATTTAAAACATTAATTAGGTTTGAATATCTTGGCCTTTTTCCTCTAGAATATAAAATATTCATTTACCCTAATTACTCAAAAATTTTGAATTTCAGATATGCAGTTTTAACCGATTTTAAAAAAAGAAAATATTTCTTAAGAGGGAACTTCAGTCACTCTCTGTATTCAATACATACATGAAAACCACGGTCAAATGCTGAAGGTTAAGTACCTCCAACTTACCTGTTGCCATTCAGTATAATACAGAGTTCTATAAAAGATAATGCAAATAATGGGACTAGAGAGATGACTCAGAGGTTAAGAGCACCTGTTGCTCTTGCAGAGGACCCACGTTCAATTCCCAGCACCCACATGGTGACTAACAACCATCCGTAACTCCAGTTCCGGGGAAATTCAACACCCTCTTCTGACTTCTGACTCTGCGGCATTGCACAACACAGGTGCACTTACATACATGCAGGCAATACACTCATACACGTAAAATAAAAATAATAAATTAAATTAAATTAAGAAGATAATACAAACAATTAAAAATAGTAAATTACATGTATATATTTTACTGCAATAAGAAGGCAAAAAACTTACCTTATAAGTATAAATAATGTTTCCATTTCTTTCAACATTTAGTACATGTAAGCTCTCATAATTTGGTTCTAAAACACCTGAAATATGTAATAGCAAGTTAATATTCAGAAGATGTTTTTAAACACGTCTACCAAATACACTTCATGAAAGAAGTCAAGTTCAAAAAATATATGCTGATGGTTGTGTTATATAGATTTTATAAGTAGGCAAATTACTCTCTCACACTAGAAATCAGAACAGCCCTGACCTTTAAGGAAGAGGAAAGAACTAGTGTGGGAGGTGTCCCAGGGAGGCCTTCTGAGGTACTCGAAAGTCCGTATCCTCTGGGTATATTGATAAACTTGCTGAGATAATTCATTGAGCTATACACTCTTGATTATACACCTTTCTCTATGTTACACCTCAATCATTTCAAGTATCTACTGGGTTTTGCCTTATACATTCTGAGGCTACATCATTAGTAGCATACCAATTTAGAATAGTTTCCTGGTGGATTGACCCCTGCCAGGCACTCAGCTGAATCCTTGGTATTTGAGTAGTTAATTTAATAAGACTGGAAAAAAATGGAGAGCTGAGGAGATGGCGCAGTCAATAAAGTGCCTGCTGCTCAAGCCTGAGGACCTACATGCAGATCCCTCACACCCATGTAAAAAGCCAGGCATGGCAGCAGCACATATCTATAACCCCAGCAGAAAACCCAGATGGACTCCTGAGCTCACTGACCAGCCAGTCTAGCCAATCAGTGAGTGCCTGGCTCAGTGAAAGACCCTGTCTCAAAACAGAATGTGGAGAGCACTAGAGGAGGGCACCCAACACCCAACATCAACTGCCGGCCTCCACATGCACACACACGAACACACTGAAACACTACATTCACATACACCAAAGGAAACAAACCATTCATCACTGACTATAATGCCATTAGCAAGAGTCCAAACCAGAGAAAGTACCAACTTCCTTGTTCCATTTTCCCCGTGGAATGCTGCCTTTGGTGAATGATCAGATGAATGAGCACAGGTGTGGGGCTCTTTCGCTATCCAGGAAATCCCCCCAGAATGGTTCCTGCAGTAGTAAGGATGCAGGAACAGAAAGGAGGGAGGGAAGAAGAACCAGGAATGGAAAGTATTGGGTCCAAGAAGAGTCGGTGTCCTAAGTCCGTGTCCCTTTCACCTTGCTAAGGTGATTTCAGAAGGTCTCTATTGGAAGTCAACCTCCAGATTTAGGTATGGTCCAGATATGTAGCTGTGTGTGAGAATGGCCAGACAGGGCACCTGATCCTGGCCATAGATCTCTTCAGGGACTACAATGCATCAGCTAAGAGAGGGCAGATTTCCTGTGATACTGCCAGGCAAAGCCTTGTAACTGTACATGTTTAAGTGTGAAAAATCACACCTAAGTTTTTAACCAGGGACTAGACTAACCAACCCCTTATTCATCAGAAAATTTACTTTTTTATATATTTTAAAGTCTTTTTTGGTACTAATATAACTACATCAACTTTCTTTTGGATATGGCTTACATGCTTTAATGTTTTCTATTCTCTTATTAATAATCTTCTTGTATTTTTATAGTTAAGACCTGTCTTAATTTAACTTATTTATTTATTTTTATTTTATGTGTATGAGTGTTACACATGTATGTATCTGTGTGTATGAGTGTTACACATGTATGTATCTGTGTATCTGCTTTGTGCAGTGGCCATGAAGGTCAGAAGAGGGTGTGTGATCCCCTAGAACTGGAGTTATGGACAGTTGTGACTACCATAGGTGCTGGAATTCAAGCCCAGGTTTTCTGCAAGAGCACCAGTGCTCTTAACTGCTAAGCCATCTCCAGCCCCAAAGACCTGAGTCTTACATGCAGAATTTCCATGTGTTTTCCACTCCCCATGGTCTGACAATCTTTTAATTGGATTACATAATCCATTTCCACTTCCTGAAATTACTGTTATATCAGGTGTGCATTTATTATATTACTGCTTGTTTTCTGTGACTCATTTGCTTTACCTCTTGCACTCTTCCAGATCAGTGCTAATGTTCTCATCTCCCACTTATTAAGTTGTCAGTTCCACGTTCTTTTCCTATTCTTTTATTAGTGATTCCCAAAGTTATAGCACGCATCCTCAGTATTATGCATTAATGTGTGGCACCAAAAGATGTGATGCAGTTGCAACTCTTAAACACTCCTAATAAGATAATAAATTAGAGAACTGCTTGGCAGTATCTACTAACATACACAACTCAATAACTGCACTGTACTTAAATCCTTCAAGAAGAAAAAATACATATACTCAACGAAAGCATACCTGTGCTATTTTGGTTCAAAGTAGCCCAATCTACCAATAATATATTGTGGTACAGCTAAACAATGGAATATATTATGAAAATGAGAAAGAATTAACCCATAACAACACACAAAAATAACTGAGCAAAAGAAGCCAAATTCCTCCCCATAAGCACTAAAAATACACTGTATCACTCAGTTTGTATATGTTTTCAAAACTGATGAAATTAGTCTCTGATGCTAAATGAGTGATTGCTGGATTAGGGGTCTCTAGCATGCTGCTAACATTTTCTTTCCTGCACTTCTATGGGTTTCACTTTGGAAAAATTAATTGAACTGTGCACTTATGACTTACGTACTTTCTAATACAAAAAAAAATCATCATTTAAAGGTGGACATAAAGACTCTATATAAATCTTTTAACTTAAAAATTTACTGGCCACCTTCAGTTTAAAATTCTTACAATAGTCATGATTCAACAGTGAAAAGATTCAGACACTGGTGGGTAGAGCACTGATGATTATCATTCATTAAGAAGCAAAAGCTATTTTATCAGTTTCCTCAAAAGTTATCTAAAATTAAATTACTTTCTTATACATGAAGAGAGTTATTAGATGTTAAAGTATTTTTACACTGATTATGGAAAACTCAAATGTTTTGATAAAGCACACAAAACATCCTATAACAGCAAATTCTGTTTGTATTTCTAGTCCAAAAGCCAGATAAAAATAACGATAATGTGTGAACTGGACACCAGAAGGGAGCTGAGCGTAGTAAACCTTTAGAGAAGTAGAGGTTTCAGTGAGAATTTAGCTATCCTCCTGAAATCTCTTTTCCTGCCTGTCACAGTAGCAGCTGTCTAGGTGTTCTGGGATGGGGATGGAGAAGTGGTTTCTATTCAGGAGTATATATTTCTATTGACCTGTCAGAAACACTTCACACTGATTTTAAAATATATGAATAATCATTTGCTCTTATAGCAGCAGACTTAAATAATTAGCTGGCTGCTAAGTAGCACTTCGCAATTTACAGAGTTCCATTTCTATCTTATCCACACTATAGGTAAGGTATCAAAGGCCTATTGTACTGAAAGGACAACTGAGCTCAATAAGGCGAGGACACTGGGCCAATACCACATAGAGAAAACACAGTGCCAGCCCGTCTCCAACACAGAAGAAAGTAAAGAAAACAACGAGGCAAGAGGTCTGTGTCAGGCTAAGTGGGAAAATGGACAATTACTCACAAGTCCTTTTAAAGGGGATTTTGTAAACATCTGAAGAGAATTTCAGTGAGACCTTTCTGTCCTGCATATGATGCAAAACTTCTGGAATGCAATGTGTCAATATTTCAAGAAGTGCTCTTCTTTCTTTGAAGAGTATAAGGATGCTGGAACAGACCTTCACAAAAGTACACTTAAAAAGTTTCAGCCAAGATAAGAAACTCCTTTATAAGAAGTCTGGCTAAGAAAATTCAAATTCTTTGCAAAACACCTGCTTTCAAATCACTAAAACATTCCCCATCAAATACAGGATGCAATATTTAAAGAATACTAATGCCCTAGACCAGAACCAAGATATTCTGATCTTTAAAATAAAATTTATTACATCTTATTAATGTATTTGTGTGTGTGTGTGTGTGTGTGTGTGTGAGAGAGAGAGAGAGAGTGTATACTATGGTACATGTGTGGAGGTAAGAAGAATAATGTTCAAGTCTGTCCTCTCCTTATACCATCGAACTCAGGTCACCAGGCTTGGAGCCAAGTGCTTTTACCTAATGAACCTTCTCAGTGGTCAGAGATAGTCTGTGTTTTAAAAGGTTTGTGTGGGGGCCACTCTTCTGTATATGTTAAGTTCCCCTAGATGATTTTAACTGAGCAACATTCATTGGATGCCATAATTAGAACTAGGACTAGCATAGAACATGACATTGGCAGACAGAGTTGACAGAAATGAAAATAATGTCTTCATGGATACATTTGATAGTGCTAGCCCTGCAGTTAAGTTCAGGGCCTATTTCATTTCAAGGCCATGTGAAATGGACAAATTTGGAAATGCTGGAGATTCAGAGACTGCAATCTCACCACATACTCTTAACCCACTTGTCCTTCCTCCTAGATTAGTTGCTCATGCTCCAACACACCCTTCTCAAAGGAGTATTCAGTGACTTCTTTGCTTATTCATTCTGACTCCTCTTCTATTAGTTCATCTCTGGAAAGTCCAGAGGAGGAAGTTTAGTAATTTCAAATGAGGAAATGTGGTTTGATTTTATAGTTCAGTGTACTCAGTGACCACAAAGAAAAGAAATGTAGCGTTTTGATAGGTAAGTTCCTTGTATAAAGAAACCTGCTAAAGGAAGGAGACCAAGACACACAAAGCATTGTGAACTCTTAGATAATGTAAAACAGAGGCCGATTTACCAGATAATCTCATTTCAATCTATTCTTTGCCAAATAAGAGTGATTTTACTTTACAGGAAGATATTTGTCAAAATGTACACATTTTAGTCCTAACTGCTATGAAACAAAAATAAAAATATTTTTGTCTTCTAAATGACAGTCCTTGGATCCATAGAGTCTTACATAAAAATTTGAACTAGTTCCCAATATACAGATCAAGAAGTGATGAAACAGGGTTGTTCCTATTCTGTACATAATTCACATAAGCCCTCAGGCTCAATATGACCAGGTATTATAATCCCTAAACCAGTGAATACTGTGATGCAATTTACATTTTATATTCTGAATAAAATGAAAAAATGCAAGCATGAAGTGATTAATTAGGAATCAATTTTAAAAAAAAAGAGAACCTTTAATCCCAGCACTTGGGAGGCAGAGACAGGCCAGCCTAGTCTATGAAGTGAGTTCCAGGACAGCTAGGGCTCCAGGGAGACCCTGTCTCAAAAAGACCAAAAAAAAAAAAAAGGAGAGAGAGAGAGAGAGAGAGAGAGAACCAAGAATTAGAAAAGCAGACTAGGGACATGGGGGAAGGAAAAGTAAACAGGAAGGACAGTGGTAAGAGAATGCTGAAGTCAATGACAACAACATGGCTAAGGCAATGGTCTGGTCCCCAGCTCAGTCTTTAGCACAGCGTACAAAATGCAATAAAGACAAGCTTGCTTCAAATTAGTTGCGTGCCAAAATACATCACTTTCCTTGTAAAGACTGTAAGATTTGAAAAATGAATCAATCTGGCATGTCACAAATCCAAGACTAATCAAAGTAGGCAAAAAGACACAGCAAAGAAAGCCTATGTTCTTTCCAGAATTATACACAGATGGTCCCTGACAATATTTCAATTTAGGATTTTTTTTAACATTATAGTGGGACCAGAGCAATATGAGGCACTTTGTAAAAAAGCACTAACTGGCATGGAAAACCCAGAAACTTCCAAAGTGTCACCCCTAGAGAAAAGCTAAGTAAAGCCAGGTTGCTATGAAGCCCTCTGAGACCATTTGGAAGGTTTCTCAGGGGATTACACCTGCATGACAAGGACAGGGAGGGAGTTCCTAGAAGAAGTCAAGCTTCCAGGCAGGTCCAGTAGCTTCAGGAACCCTGCAGCCATCTTCCAGAGGGAAGGGGAAAGGTGCAGGAACTGGCTCCAACTGCCAGTGTTGGCCCATGTTGAATCAAAACAGTCAGGCCTTTATACCCTACCTTAATGGTTCGTTGGATGTGGGCCACAGCTGAAAGAAAATAAAGCAGGAGGAGGCAATCGCTGAAGGAGCTGACCACACTCATAGACACAAGAAAGACTCTTCTTTGAAAGGATAGTCAACATTATAGAACACTGTACACAGTGAACATTAATGACTTCATGTAGCCAGTCAACATGTATAAATCTTACAATATTGAGAAGGAACAAAAGAATATATATGTATATAGTATACTTTCATTTACTTGAAATTCAAATAAAAATGGACTTAAAACTATGAATAAATTGAAAATAATATTAAAGTAGGGCCTGTAGAGATGACTCAGCAGTTAAGACCACTGGCTGCTCTTTCAGAGAATCCAGGTTCAGTTCCCAGCATCCACATGGCAGCCAACAACTGTCCTTAGCTCCAGTTCCAAGGGATGGATCTGAAGCCTTCTTCTGGCCTCTGCAGGTATTGCATGCATGTAGTACACTTACATACATGCAGGTAAAACACTCATACACATAAAAGCAATAAAAAGAACATAAAAGATCATATAAGGGGTATACACAAGCCTTCCAAGCTCCTGATATTCTAATTGCAGCTAGGTGATAGGCACATATATGGGTTCTTTAACTTACTTTTTACAGTTAGTATATATTAAAACATTTTATATAATTGTTTTGACTTTCAAGATTTTTTCTTATTTTATTTTAGGAGAGATTATTTCCCAAAAGTTCAACCCCAAACCAGGAGCGTATACAATAACCAAATCTGTTTTCCTTCTTCTTGAACCCTTGATGACTAAACTTCTCTCCTATAGGCACCAAAATTCCCTAGCTGATGTAGCCAAGTTCCCTGGCTATTTTATCAGAAATATGTCATATTTGATGACTGAATGTCTCTCCTACAGGCACTAAAATTCCCTAGCTGACTTAGCCAAGTTCCCTGACTTTTTTGACAGAATGATGTCATATTTTATAAGAATTATTGGTGTCACTAAGAAGCCTTCAATTTGTTGATATAAAAATATTAAACCCAATCAGCAAGTGGCTCAGTGGATAAAGGCACCTGCCACTAAGCCTGACACCATGAATTTGATCCCCAGGTCCCACAAGGTGGAAGGAAAGAATTGGCTCCCACAAATTGTCCTCTGACCTCCACACCAACACTATGGCATGCACACACACACAAATAAATAAATGTAATGGGGGTGGATTTAAGCCTTCAAATTTAAAAACTATGTAGAAAGCAGACATATAGTTATTGGCAGACTTATTCCTATTTATGTTTTAAGAGCTGGGACATCAAAAAGGAGATACTTTACATAAGTGTGTTTAGTAACGGCCACACTATAAATAAAATAGAATTTCAGATTTTCCTGAGAGTTCAATAAATGACAGTAGAAAAGGAGCTGACTTGTGGTGTGTGTGTGTGTGTGTGTGTGTGTGTGTGTGTGTGTGTGTGTTCATATGAGTGCACGTGTAGGTACACATAAACGCATGTGCTTGCATAGGCCAGAAATCAATATTGGGTGCCCCCTCAGTCATTCTCTGCCTTGTTTTTTGATACAGGGTCGCTCTCTGAATGTGGAGCTCACTAATTCAGCTAGACTGGCTAGCTAGCAAGCCCCAGGGATCCCGCAGTCTCTATATCTCCAGCACTGGAATTACAGGTACACACTACCTGCCCATTCTTTTTGTGAATGCTGAGGGTCAAGCTCATGTCCTCATGCTTATATATTTATTAACTGAACCAGCTCCCTAGCCCCTGGGGTTTTTTTTTTGTTTGTTTAATTTTGTTTTAAGCTACTACCCATTGGTGATTATGAGAGGTAATATACTCTGGGACTCACTGGAGTAATGGTTTCTGAGAAACAGCAAAATACTACCAATAGTTTAAAAGCTATTTCTGGTAAGTTTGCCTTCTGAGGAGTAAGCATCCTTTTTTAGTGAAGCATCAATACCCGCTTATAATTCTTCACAAATGAGTGAAAGCTACAAAGAAGCATAAATCCAACAGGGTCACACACAGCTTTTCAACCACAACACATACTACTGAAACCTGAGACTGGCATTTCACACCCACTGAGGACACTCTGTCCAGCCTCATTTGCAGACACCTGCAAAATAAGGTGGGACTTGGAAAGGACTATTTTGTGGTGGAAAATAAACTTAGAGCTGCCTGTCATATTTCAAAAAGTTAAACTTTCAAAAGCTTTAATAATGAAAACTGAAGCAGGAGCTACACAAACTGTAATAAGATTATAAAGTTATTTATTTGGAGCTAACAGTCAACATGCAAAGACAAAGAATTCTACAGATGCTCCTATGCTAACACATACAAATGGTGAAAAGGTATAACTTTCACCAGAATTTAGAGGAAAGAATTTGTGGATATGGGTAATTTGATGCCCCTCCAACCAAAAATGGCCAGTTCCTACACATAGGGCCGAACCCAGAGGTGCCATTCTCTACAGCTGAATGTAAGCCCTGAAGATACTCTGAGTTATACTCTTAAAAAGAAAAAAAAGAAAAGAAAAGAAATCATAAGAACACCCCCCCACACCCCCACACCTCCCCCTGCCCACCCCTCAACCCTTCACCCCCGTTCTTTTAAGTAGATCAATACTGGGAAAACTCAGAATAGCTCCTGGTGGGAAATGTATTGTAATTCACCTAGGAAGCCAGGCACCTAGGCAGGAAGCAAGCATCACTGCCTCCAAGCTTAGCACACCAGTGACGTGAGCTCCCTAGGACAGCCTGATCACAACAGGACTTCAGTTCACTGAGTGCAGTCTGACAGGGCGCCCTGCCAGAGCTCTGAAAGTCGCATCTGGTGGACATGTTCCCTAAGTCACCAGCTCTGTTCACACAGACACAGAAATGGGTCTCCCAGATTCATAGCAAACTTCTTAAAAAGAAAACAAAAGGGAGGGTGTTAAACCACGAAGTTCCCCTTCTTAAAAGTAGATCAACGCTGGGAACACTCAAGCATGACAGAGACAAGCTGGGGTAACTGTCAGAGACTTGGGTGGTGGTCTGCTTGGTCACCACAGTTCATCATTTAATTCTGCAAACGTGTGGCTTCGAATGTCGTCCTGACAGAGCCCCTGCAGGCTGCTGAGCCCAGATGCCAAGAGACGTGGGCACCGTCCCACCCGACTCCTGGCTCTCCCCACAGTGACGCAGAGGGTACCACTAGCCACCCGGCTAACAGCACTTTACTACGGGAGGCAGGGTATGGGCCGCGGCTGTGCAGCCCCGGGTGGCCCTAAGCGGACGGTGTCCCTCTCCACCCCTGGCTGTGAATGACGCACACCCTCCTCGCCCCCCACCCCCACCCCTCCACCATCCAGGACACAAGCGCCCTGCACCTTCGCCTCGGCCTTCTGTTCCCGCGCGGAGCCACCGGAGCACGTCCACCTGCAGGTCGAAGTGGGGGACCAGCTGGAGAGCCATCGCGCGCGCGCAGGCCCGGGGTGGACATTCCCCGCACTGCTCACACCTCTCCTCCTGACCCTGAGACCGCCCTCTCCTTCCTCCCCGCCTCCCGGCCGCCGCTTTCGGTTCTTGGGTGTCCAGGCCAGGGAATCCCGGAGCGCCGCCTCTTCCCCCGCAGCGCCTGTCCAACGAGGGCGACTTGCAGCGTGGAGACCAGGCTCTGAGCGGCCCGCCGCACCCTCGGGGGTAGGACCAAGGGGCCAGGATGGCATGGCTGGGAGCTGGGGTACGGCCCTAACTAGATAAGCCATGTGGCTTCCAGATGGTGCTGCACCCTGGTGTGGAGCCCAGGCATTCCTCTTCCTTAGGCCCTGGTCATTCCACTGTGTAGCCAGTTTGGAAACCATTTGACTAAAGAGCTGGGTCACCTGAGGAGACTCAAGGTTACAGGAAAGGCGGCCAGAGCCTTGGGCCTATTCTACTGAGCTCGGCTGTGACAGTGTTTTGTCAGTAGTGTTGGGGAAACACATTAGTGAGGAGGCATGTAAAGTACGTAATGCTTTTTTTTGCGGGGGGGGGGGGGGTGCTATTTTACGAGAGATGCTAGGAAAGTTTAGCTTATCAGAATCTGGGTTCTCTTCTCCTTTTAGCCCCTACACTCTGGCTTGAGGGAAACTGACTTGTCTAGGAGTGCCCTCAGCTGAGAATTGTCTTCAAGCGCTGTCATTTCTCACTGTGCACCTTCCCAATCCTCACCCTACAAGCAAGTTTAATGTTTTCATAATCTTGCTCCTCTAGCTTTCTCTGCTCAAGGAATTCATCATTAGCGAGCTTGGCCCTGAGAGAGGCAATCCATCCTGAACAACAAAGTCAGGTGATTAATGTCCCCAAAACTGAGCTAGTCTCAGCCTGGGACAGTGGCTGGTGCCTTAGTCCCTGCACTCCGGAGACTAAAGCAGGAGAATTGCTGGAGTTCATGGCCAGCCTGGGCTAGAGGGTAAGACCTTGTCTCAAAAGCAAACATATCTAGCTTGCTTCTGTGCAGAAGATCTGAACAGTTCACTGCCCCAAGGTAAAACTGCCTATTCGTTAGGCAAGCCTTTCTATTTAGAACTTGAGATCCAGGCTGATCTGGGTCCCAGAACCTGTTTCCACTGTCCTTCCTCCTAGAAAAATCTCCAGGTTCCTCCAGCCCTAGATCCACAGAGCCTCCTCCTCAGAACTGCAGCCCACAGGGACATTCTCAACCCTCAACTAGAGTGGTATTACTAATACACCTTACTGGACAGGAAGTATACTTCCTTGAAACATTAAAATTAAATCCTGAGTCCTGGGACAGCTCCTCTCCCCTCAAGAGTGGCTAAATAAAGCATCCTGGAAGGTGTTCAAACAGTTAGGGAGCGATTATATTAATAAACTAAGAGTTTTTATTGTCTCTCAAAGTTGGACTTTCAAATCCACCTGTCCCAGAGTTATCTGAGGACTATTTTATGTTGTAGGCTCTTGTTTTCTAGTCTAGGACTAGACAAGGCACATCAGTTCTTTTTCCAGAGCCTTGGAAGCCTGTCTTGCTATGGTTTGAAAACTACTGCTTGGTAAGTATGAAAGTCTTGATTTTCTCAGAGGGAAGTAGTAGTTGATATGAGGTAGAATTCTACTGCTCACCACACACACACACACACACACACACACACACACACACATACACACACACCACTTGTAGTTTGCAGGAAGGTTTAAAAAAGATCATTAGCTGTAAATAAAAGGGAAGCCACTGGAGACATGAGAAGCTATTATAATACTTTATAACAAATGTATCTTGTTAGTTTTGTTATCCAGACATGTCCTCATCTTCCATATGTATATAGAAGATAGCATATTGAACAGATATGTTAAAATTAAAAGTTCCACTCCATTCTCCTGACCAAGAAAGAATTCTTATATAAAAACTGTCTTGCTTATAATAGAAAAGTAAACAGGGTGAAAAATCACAACCAAGAGAGCAGAAAGATGTGGCCAAACATCACAAAGCTGCTATATGGATGAAGGGACATTGGAGATCAGACAAGAGATTGGTAAAGTGTTAATAGAACTATGCTGACAGGGTATACTTCAGCTCTAGAGAGGACAGCACTGGAGAGGGTCATGTCTTAATTTAAAAAGCTACCTCATGAGGTTAAAATATTTCTATTTCTTAGAATGTATGTGGCGGGGGGGGATTCAAATCATACTGCTAGGAATCCAACCCAGAGCCTTGAGCATAATAGTGAAGCTCCCTACAGCTAAGCTACATCTCTGGCCCTTAGTTTTTCTCGGATAGGATGTCATGATGTAGCCCAAGCTAACCTTGAACTTAGCAGCCTGCCAGATGTGGGAGGTGCCCTACCACCATGCCTGGCTGCTTTTTAACAAGCTTAAGCATAAACTGTGATGTTCCTTAAAATCAGTCTATAAGAATTGAAGATTTTATGCTTCAGGCACTGCTCAAAAAGGGATCTTCATGAGTACAATAGTGACCTGCATGTTTGGGGGGTAACCAACCACTTTCTGACTGGATTTATGGCCTGCTCTATAGGAGGAAACTCATGCCTGGTAAATCTAGCCAAGAACCCATGGTTGGGGAGCTCATAGGTCCCAGGGGTGAATCTATTACCATTATTTTGCTAAATGTACATGGTATCAAACTGCCCTCTAAATTCATATCTCTAAACCCATAGATTAGTGCAACTATCAGATCTCATCAGAGAAGTTTCTTTAAGTAGTGAATGGTGATTAACATAGAAACTCACAACTGGTCAAAGTGCAGTAAGTGTCTGTGGAGTGTTCAGCCACAAATGGGACATGTGTATCACACCCCTACGAAAGGTTCAGGGACCACTGGAAAAGAGGAGGTAAAAAGATTATAAGAGCTAGAGACTGGGGAGGCCTGGAGCAAAACAATGTCATCTGGACATAATAGGACTACTGCACTCATGGACTCAAAGAAGCTGTGGTTGCCTGCATAAGACCTGCACAAGATCAAGCCAATCAACATTCCAGCATGGAATAGGAAGCGTTCATGGGCCCTCACCCCTATCTTTTGAAAGTTCATGGTTTCTGGGAGAGGTAGAGTCAGTTTCCTTTAAGGATGTGGCCCCTGGTAGGTCAGCTAGTGGATGGTCCCACACCCAGGAATATATAGTCATCACAAACTGGACTAGGTGGGTTATGAGAGAGCAAGAGAGAGAGAACATGAAGTTAGGAGGTGATTGGGCATGGGGAGTGGGTCTGGGAGGAGTAATGGGGAGGAATGGAGGGTGAATATGATCAAAATACATTATATGCATGGATGAAATTCTCAACTAATGTATTACATTTATTTTTTAAAAGTGAAGGGTCTAGTCTGGTTGATAGTTATTAACAACCAAGTTGCAACTTTCTGTTTCCATTTTAATGTTGACTAGATATAGAGACTAGATTAGAGGACTCTTAAGTTAACTTTATGATTGGAGCTTAACTCTGGGACTATGTGAGAAATCACAAAACAGAGATTTTATGATTTTCTCAAAATACCTTATGTTCTTTGTAAGTTCATCTTACTTTTTTAGATTTACTTGGGGGGAGGCTGCTAGGAGATTGAACCCAGGGCCTCATGCATGGTAGGCAAACTCTCTACCACTGAGCTACATCGCCAACCCAAGTGTTAGATTTGAAGGAAACAGAACTGGAAATGTAGGTGAACAAATCATTTTTATGTAGAAGATAGTTTATTTAACAGATGTTAGAATTTAAAGTTCCACTCCACTCTCTTGACCAAGAAAGAGTTCTAAAGTAAGAAAGTTATCCAGTTTGAGTTTGAAGGAATCTGTTTAAATTGAACTCTAAAGTCAAACTGAAAAGTGTCTAGAGAATGAACTAAAGATATTAGGCCAAAAATTGGGTCTTCGTTGAACAACAAATGTCTAAAAAACATTTTTAAAATAAAATCATACAAGTTGAAATTAATAAATTTGAATCAACTAAAACAAACTTTGCATTTGGGGGGCTATTCCTTTGAGAAGACAGTTAAGAAATTTTTTCATGAAATTAATAGAGGTTATTTAAAAACATCAGAATCTAAATGGTACATAATAAAGTTCCTCTGCACTTTCTAGGATGTAATTAAGGTTTGTAATAAAGTCCTTACAATAATGTGGCTTATGCAGGTGTTGAGGATGCTGCTTTTCCATAGAAATTTATTTTTAATAGAAATAATTTATATTTTTCAAAGAGATAATTATTTAATGTGATAGTCACTATGACTTTCCAAAACCCACTTGTACTAGTCAGAAGACAACAGTTCCTCTTGTCAGAGATTGATTTGAGAATAGGGACATGCACCAGTCAGAGCTAAATTCACCAGAGGTTAATGAAAACCTAAATTAACAATAAATTAAACACACATGGTTTTATTCTCTCACCCATCTTGGGGTGGGTAGTCCAAAGCTCATAGGGCAGGTTCCTGCTGTCATTAGGATCAGAGCTCTTTCTAGCTTCTTGTTCCACCAAACTTTGACTATACACTTATTCTCATGGTCTAAGATGACTGTGAATTGTTCAGCCACCATGCTTGCATTCCAAAAATCAAAATGGGAGAAAGGGGATAAAAGGAAGGTGGTGCCTCTCTTTGAAGGATACTTCCTGAAAGTTCTATACATTTCCACTTATATTTTAATGAACAGAGCTATTCATTGGCCAATATAGATTCAAGTAAGGTAGGAAATATACGTGATTAGTGATATAAAAAGTAAAAGGGCAATATTAAAAGTCAGGGAAGTGGGGCTGGAGAGATGGCTTCAGCAGTTAAGAGCATTGGCTGCTCTTCCAGAAGACCTGGGTTTGATTCCTAGCACCCACATGGTGGCTAACAACCATCCTAACTCCAGTTCTAGGGGATCCAATGCCCTCTTCTGACCTCCGTGGATACTGCACGACAGGGGTGCACTTACATACATGTGGACAATACACTCATACACATAAAAAAAATTTTAAAGATGAGGAAAAGGATATTCAGAAGCAACTAGAGATCTCTGTCATGAGATGAAACCCAATTTTGACCAATAACTGTGAAGAAGCTAGAGTAATAGAGTAAGCACTGGACATTGACCTCTGGCCTTCCTGAATACCTGAACACACATTGCACACATATACATACATATATACACATCCACAAACTATTTAAATAAAGCTATTATTGAAGAAAATACACATGATGTCAATGTACTTC